CCCCAAAACCCCAAAACCCCGTAACTCACAGATAACCTACTTCAAAACGGTAGTAATAATAATTAAGAAATTAAGTTTATTAATAATACTCAAATATAAATGTACATAAACAAAGAACCAGCTATATTTTAGGTTGAATTAATCTGGAGTATAGCATGAATAAATTTCAATCTACATCATGCTTACTCTTTATTAGTAAATTCGTTTCCAAATAAATCTCAAGCTTTTTATTTTTGCAGCATCCTTTGCTATCTTTCAATTGCTAGTTACCTCAAAAGAGGATTAATTGGGGAAGTAATCTCCTCAGAATTTACATTACTAGATATGTTCCCGCCTACATCCTGCAAATTATTATTCGATGTAAAGATGCTTTATTTCGATAGTTTTAATTCCTCTTCATTAATTTTGGATTTTCTGAGTTTTTATTTAGACTCCGGATTAATATTTTTCTTACTGTTGCTTTTCCTTTATATTGTTTCATTTTAACCCGATGCTAGCTAACTTATAGTTTTCCCACCAGAAAATTACTCGAAATAGGATTTATCTTCTCCTTTTTTATTATCCCTTAAATTCTGTATTTATTGACTTTGCAACGGTAGATTAGTGGACATCTATGAAAACAGCATACTATCTAGACCACCAAAAAATGGACTCGGAATAGTCTGTACTGAGTCATCGGATATTGTAATTTCATTTTAATTTTTTTTCCTAGAACTTCTTTATCTTTTCCTTAAGTAGGTAGGTGGTAACATCTATCCCTGATTTTTACAGTATTTTTTTTTGTATTCCTTAGGATCCATAACTTCCAAAAACATCTTATCAAATTCCTCGCTTGGCCCATCTCGATTTAGAGCTGGCACCATTCCATTATTATTTTAGATATTTTGAAAACTCAATTGGGACATCAGGATTTATTATTATAATGCTGGACTTAATGGAACCTAGGAAGCTGGAATAATCTAAGATTGTAATTGAGGAATGTAGCTTTGAGAGGCAGTTGGTATCTGGCTATTATTGTTAGTAAACTTGGTCAGATTTTTGCAAGAAGGGGCTATTACTTGAAAACCTTGAGAGGCAGGAAGCATATTAATCTACTCCATACTTTCAATTATCTTATTCTCAGCCTCATGTCCTCCTATATCTTTTAACGTCTTTATTTTTTTATCATTTTTATTGCTCTTTTTCTTGTCCTTTTTCTTTTTATCTTTCTTGATCTTTTTACTTTTTTTAGATTTTTTATTAAAAAGTTAGAACGGTGATTCCTTATCATTTTCTTGACTAGACTCATCACTTTCTTTTGCCTCAGGAATTTATTGAGTTTATTGTGTCAATTATGAAGCCATGATTTTACCTTTAGCAATCAGTGTTAAATCTTCTAAATCTTTCATAAATTTCTTCTTTTTTTCCTTCTTTTCTTTCTTTTTAATAGCATTTTACTTAAATCTTTTCAATTTTTCCTCTCTTTTTTTCAGACCTTTTTTTGTCTCTTCATCTCTAAATTCTCTCAAAGCTTTAGCAGTTTTCCTGTCTTATTCATTCAATTTGGAAAGGCCACCATTATAATTTGTTCTATTCAAAAATCCCTCTATAGCATCAGCTTTCTATTTGTCATTAATACTGATATCATGCAAAAACTACTCATCTTCTTCATCCAGGGTCTATTATTTTGCCTATTTTGATGCTTTTGGAGAAAACCCACCCATATCATCATCCTCTGAATCTTGGGGTTTCTAATTGTACTTGAGTTTTGCTTACTTATGATTATCCTGCTTTTTCCCTCTCTTACCTTAACCTACACTTTGTTCATTAGCAGTCTTAGCTTTTTTATTGAAGTAAGGTTTTCTAACATATTTTAAGCACCCATTTTTCTTGTCTTCCCAATACTTTTACCAGAAACATTTAGGATGCTTTTTCCAAAGTTCAATGTATTCTGGATGAGGATTATTTTGCAGAAATGGGGGCATTTATTATTATTAATCGTATGCATTGGATCCATTAGAATCAGAGTAAGTATTTGAGACGAACAATGTTTTTTTCTCTTTATTTTTAACTACTTTTTAGACTATTCTATCCTCATCATCATTTTATATGAATTCCTTGAAAGATATTGGATCTATTTCCCCTCTTGCTATTCTCTGAGCTTTTATATTATCAATTTCTCTAAAATAGTTAATTATCACAATTCTTACTTTCCAAGAAAATTAGTATCTTTGAGTTTTGTCATCTCAGCCCCATGTTCACATTCTGTTATATCATGAAGCATAACTAATTTTTGTCGAGTTGGGCAAAATACTCTCTGAAACTTGAAAGTCAAAAATGCTTTTTTGTAGTCCTCTTCGTAGCCATCTGGTATGACCACTTTGCCCTCATCTTTAAGAAGGCCCATAACTTCATGGAACTATTAGAATTTAAATTAACACACTATAATTTACAATATCCACTTCATTAGCGCACTATTCAACCAATTTTTGTGCTTTCATAAATCCAATACCCTTTATAGAGTCTAAATAATCACACCCTGATAATATGCAGGTAGTCAAAAGCATATCCTGGGTAAAGTTTTAGAAATTCGGCTTTTTAACTCTTTTTAGTTTCTTTAAATTTATCTCAACCCCTAGTCAAGTTAATTTTAGCTTATACTTACCGTTTCCATCAGAGTCCATTTTGAAAAAAACTTTTCTGCAGCCAAACGCCAGTAAATCTGAATCCTCAGTGAACACTACTTATACATGATTTTTTAACCATAAATAAGCTAATTAAGCATCAGCTTCATAAGGAGCAACATAATACTCAACCTCCATTGCCTAAAGTGCTTTGATAAGAGTATGTGCCATTTATGGTGTAATATCAATACTTTCACCATATTTTTTCATGGCGTTCTCCTCGTCTCCTTCTCTTAGAAGCTCCTCAGCCTTTTCTCTGCATTTTTCTCTGTTCTTTTTTCTTCCCTCTTCAATGCTTTTCTTCATTTACAATTTACCTCCATCGAAGACCATAACTGGTGTTACATTGAAGCTCCTCATAAGCTAGATTCTCTTAAGGCAAAAAGAGATCAGCTTATCAAGACCTTGGCCTTTGGCTAAATCCTTTTTACAAGTGTAGACAGCTTTGTGTAGCCAACAGTAACCATCCACAGCTACTTTCATTCCAGCATAAGCCCTTACATGTTTCTTTTTCTCAATTTCTTGCAGATGTTTTAGTAGATTTTGAATTCCCATTTGAATTTTGAAGGTTCTTGTTTTTGGTAGTTGATATTTGGAATGATTTATTTATTATTAATATTATGATATTAATTTGAGAGCTTAATTCAAGCTAATTAATAATAATTATTGTTAATTAACAGAGAGGAGACAGGTTCAGTCGAGACTTAGCTAATTAATTAGATTTTCAATGTGTTAAATATTTAAAGATATTATTTCCCTAAACTCCACCAAATTAAATACTCATGGGGTTTTGGGGTTTTGGGG